CTCCTTTTAAAGAAAGCCCGTTTTCCTGTCGGAATAACGCTATGAAGTAATTTACAGTTCACATATTTTGTTAGGGTAAAGAACAAAGTGCTTTAAGCGTGATGGTGCACTGTCTAACTTATAATTTATTCTCTTCGGCAAGTATTATTAGTGAGAGGCGAACTTAGCGAGCTTGGACAGAAGGATATACTCATACTCGTATACACAAAATTCGGAGGGAAGGAGGCTTACTTGAGAGACCTATGTTTTGGTGAGAGGATATTATTAAAATTGATGCTACAGTAAAATGATTTGACGACGTGGCTCAGCAAGAGGGCCCACCCTATTTTTTTTAAATAGTAATGAACTATCATATTCCATTAATGGGTAGGGGAAGGAACTTCTCAAGTAGCTAATCGACTGTTAGCTTCTCACGAAGGGCTCTGGTCGATGGTGTTAGTACAAATTATAATAATATTTCGGAACTCTAAGGTTTACACTGTAATTTTGTTTGGTCAGTTTCCTGGAATATACCATGAGTAGCACTGTATATGCAGGAACACAAAAGGTGCTATGGCGTTGTTATAACGTAGGGTTTTATTACGGAGCCTTGAACCATGTGATTGTTTAGAGACTTTACAAGGAGAACTTGGGTACCATGCACATCCACATAATGTGTATAGTGGCTTCTAATTATATTATTATTAAGGTTGGTAGACCACGGAGAATGGTGCATTATGAGAGAGGCTGGCGTGACCCATGTTAGAGGCAGCTTTCATTATTATGGACATGCAGAGGGGCTGAGGCTTCTCTAGTGTGCCGAATTTTGTTCGAGGCTAGCTCGCTTCGATCTGTCTTCAAAGAGCACACACCTTCCTTGACCGCAGTGTGGATACCACTATTCGTGAGGTTAATCACTTCTGAAACGCCAGCACAGCACGAGAGATATGTCACTTCCATGTTGTTGGGCCTTGAACCCACTAAACTCAATTCAGCAGGCACCGTACACTACGTTGATTGAATTTGTTACGGCAGGACGTGAATGAAATCTGAAGTGTCTAGAAACTTCATTAGAAGTATAATTTCGCGTGTATTGACTGAGCTGTTCGTCTCTTGGCATGAACTTCACAATTTAGTGTATTGAATCAAAGAAAACAGGAATATTGTGTCCTGGTTCTGACAGATGGGAGCATCTGATGACGATATTCCATGCTTATTGATTCAGTGCACTGGAAGTGAAACCATTTATATGTTCACTTATTTGTGTTGAACATAATGCGTTAGGAGTTACTCTAGAGCGACTAGTGCTATCATATTACGTAAATGAATAGTGTACGTACAAACCAAATTCTGCATGCAGAATTGTGGAAAGCTAGAATTAACTAGAAATTCTGGTAAGAAATGATCATCTGTTGTCCTTCCGCTACATACTGAGTATAGGACATAACACTGATCGCATAGAAAACACCGAATCCAGCAGTCTTTGTACTGTTCTATGTGTATTCGTTTCAGAGGGACTGTGTTAATCTAGCCGTTGCCCAGAAACAGCTGTCTTATGGCTCTACTATTCCGGCTTTCAGACATTAGAGGGGACACGCAGGCACGGACAGCAAGGCGGATCTCATAAGCCTCTTTTCATTTTTAGCATAGTTTCTTTATTTTTATGAAATAGAAAGAGGTCATTAGATCATCTTGTCTTTTGTCTTTGTAACGCATCTCTTTTTTTAAGATAACGAGATCACCTTGTGTATTCCCCGTAAGTGTTGTTAGGAGGCTTATGAAATCACCCTGCTGTCTGTCTCCTATTTTTTCATTTTCTCTGCGGCCCTTGTCATATTAAAGGAAATTAGGTGATTAGTTCTTTCCAGAAATTCTTGTTTGAAATAAGGAAAGTAGAGTAGAAATGTACATTTTCGTTTAATTGCATGTTGTCCCACAAAAAATAATGATACAAATTCTTGCCGCACTTGGCTCATTCTAACGTCTCCATGAAATGCGAATCCAGATATATAACTAAGTATGATAATTAGGAAACCGTGATGGGAGATATCACTGAGGCGACAGTTAAACATGGAGATCGCATAAGCTTACTTTTGCTTGTCAAAGTAAGGAAAATAGGCCAAAGATGTACCCAGAATAGTTAACAAAAGGAATTGTTCCTTAGTGGTCTTAACTGTAATCGGGATACAGTTCATTTTTTTATTTTCAACGTTTTTGGCTCATTTGGTTGTAAGCAACGTCATTAATCGGCCTCCGTAGTCTAGGGGTAACGTTCCCACCTCATGACTCAAGTACGCGGGTTCAAACCCGGCGGAGGTCGTGGAATTTTTAAGGGCGGAAAAATTCAGGGAACAAGTCCTCCGGGAGGGACTTTAAGCCGTGGGTCCCGTGTCGTAGATTTACGGCACGTAAAAGAACCTCATGTCTCTAGGAGACCTCTGAGCTAAATTAGGCAAATTTCCCGCCCTAGTAGTTTCCAATGCCTCCGGTAGATGGGGGATCTTAGATACCACTGCCAGAGGAGGGACGACCTCACTGACAGAAAGGGACTATCCGATACCACTGCCACTAGAAGGCCGAAACCTCGCTGGCAGAAAGGGAACGATAGCAAGCACCAGTACCGGTAGGGTATGGAGACAGTAGAAATTCAAAAGGAGGACGCACAATAGATCAAACTGGTCGCGGTGCATGGTGTAACCCACCCCCTCAATACTAAATAACTGAAGCAACGTCATTTAGTTTTGAAGATAAAGTTTTATTCTTGCAAATACTATATAGGCATATAGCTATGTTTCATGTTGCTCGCTTCTTACTCCAGACACCGTGCCCTTAATGCGGGAAATGCAAGCCGTTTTATTTCACCTTTGCTTTGTGAACAGCGAGTTAAACCATAGCCTTACATAGCGTTCTCTTTAATTTTGAAACTTACAGTTTAGGAGATGTTCCTGTGAATATTCTGGAGTCGCTGTCGGTAATTAAAAAAATTCTGTCAGGCGATAATTTAAGAAAGCGTTCTCGACCTTCCAGCTCGAAATATATGAACATATTTTAGTCGTTCGGTTGCAATTTTAAAATCAACAATTATGTTAGTTTACATCTAACTGTATAATATACACCAATGAAGTTGTCCTCCTTATGTTTGTCCCTCATGGTTTTGAGAATATTTTAGCATGTCCGCTGAAAGTCGGAATACTTGAATAAGAAGGAACGTCAGTTACTAGGTTACGACACATTAAACACCACGTCAGCATAGCAGCAGTTCTACACGCAACAGTAGGAGAACTGCTGTAGGCGATGTTGTCTGTGGGGTCCGCCCCGAGACTATATAGAGGAGCCAGTTCGGGCTTTGAGTCGAGATTGTGTGGGGTCTGCTGGCAGTCAGTAATATCCAATGACGGAAAGACGCGGCTAGGAGGCAGACAGTGATCAGGGTTTTCGGCCATGTAGAGTAAGTAGTTATGAGAGGCCGTGGGACACGTAAGCGGAAAAATCAGCTGCTTTGGGAACAGTTACCAGGTGACGACTAGTGGAAACATAGGAAACTGAGAAGGTTTAATTCGTGCTTTAGTAAATTATAGAGTGTGTGAATAGCGACAGCGCTGTAATTAATTGTAGTTATGAGTTTTAAGAGTCCAAAAATTCGGACTACCAATCCAAACTTTTTGTATAGTTACTTAACATGTGACAATACTTTGTATAAATGATAGAATTTAGACGATTTTGGCAGTCATATCCATACAAAAATTTTATCTTTTTAATTTCATTTTAAGCCACGTCTGTCTACTGTAATGCCTACCCTATACAATCTCAAATCAGCATTATGAAACGACGTACGTTAGTCATACACAAACCTACTCAGCAACAATGCCAATAGTGGACAATGAAAACTACAAAAATTCACGAATCTGTAATAGACGAAATGAAACAAGATGAGACAAGAACGTACTACACACTATACTGCAACGAATCTTACTACAAGCAACGAGCATCGAACAGCAAGAAAGCAAAATATAATAAACAGTAAATAAAATAGGATCTATACATATATAATGCTACAATATGCAACAAAATGTTCAGGTTTATATACCAAGCATGATAGAGTAGTCGTAATAGCAGCTCGCTACGGGCTGGACGACCGAAGGGTCATAGTTCCAGTCCCGGTAGGGTCAAGAATTTTCTCTTCTCCACGTCACCGAAACCTGCTCTGGGGTCCACTCAACATCCTATCCAAAAGGGTACCGGGAGTAAAGCGGCCAGGGCGTGAAGCTGATTATTTACCTCCAACTAGTACCGAGATCAAGAAAATGTGGATCTATACATCATCTCCCCCATACGCATCCATGGCGTAGTGCTTAATTATTATGTACAGGGACAATTTTACTGAATTTACTTACTCTTATGTCCCAAACATGTGGGAGTCCAGGCACCATATGCGGGACCTGCGTGTAGATGAAGGCAGTATTAAGTATGTATTAGAGAAAGTTCTTCTGGGAGTGTAGACTGCATTCTTCTGGTTCAGGAAAGGGACTAGAGCCGAGTTCTCGTGAAAACGGTAATGAACTTCCAGATTTCTTAAAAACCAGATAATTTCTTAACTATATGAGTGACTGTCAGGTTCCGAAGGAAGATTGAGTGAACTTCGGAAAATTGTGTTTGAAGTGGTCGACTAGATTCATATGCTTCAGGGTAGTGCCCAGCATTTGGTCGGTCTGAAGCCAGTAATGGACCTTCGGTTTTAATAAAACTAGATAATTCCGTCACCGCTGAATAACTATGAACGTATCAAGAAATATTCTCCATTTCATATCAGTTATGCAAATAAGGCAAGGAAACGCAGTAAGGAATGTGTCTCTGGATCATACTTGAGTCCTTACGAATTTAATTATTAATATTTCTGCTCTTAAAAAGACGTGTCCTTTTAGTACGAACATTTATCTGATTTTACACTGAAAAGCTATCAAAGCAGCCTGTTGAATGTTGGTAGTCCCACATTACACATCATGCTTAGTGTTTCTACTTACAACTCCGTTGCCAAACTTCTTGACCCCACAGGGGAGAGTGGTGGTGCTGGCAGTCTGGGCGGTGACCACAGTGCAGTTTTCAGTGGTGAAGATAGACGAGCTAACGCTATTTTGTACCAGGTTCCCCGCGTCCGCCACCCTGTGTTTGGTGCTCCTATGGTTCTCATAGCTACGCTGTTCCCGAGCCAGATTGCTGGAGCCTGAAACACAACGCAGAACAATATAGATATCGTGTCAGCTTCAGAATGATATTCTGTTCAATCATGTTTTAGATCTAGTTAACTCAGGAATGAGATGTGGTCTGGATGAAATCCTGTGGGACCGAGCGTGTGGGCACAATAGTTAGCACTCCTGACTCATATTGCAAACGTCCCATTTCCAATCTCGACTCGTCCTGTCTGATACGCGCCTCTTCGCAATCTGGGCTCGTATTCGAGAAGGGCGGTTGTGTCCTGTCTCATAACCTCGCAGATTTTCTGAATCTTTACAGACAATCTCTCGTAATTGTGATCTATATTAAAGTAGTCCTGCTGCTAAACTCGATCATTCGACAAGTTATGATGACTTCTGATGTTTTCGTGGATTTCCTCAGTCAGTACAGACAAATCTTCTCATAAAAGCCTTGAATATATCACGACAACTTCTGTCGGGGTCCTTCCAAAATCGCAGTTTCATTGACATTGATCATTCGAATTTTCATCCCGCCGATGAATTTGTTTTCGAGTAAACTGAAAGAAAGTAGTCTACTCGTATTTTTTGGTACCAAACTTGGATTTTAATTATGATCTCTATAGTTAATAAGGTGTCGTTAAATAAGTGAAACCAGATGTAACTAATCCATTTGCCGTCACAGATGTTCATGTTTTATTCCCGATATTATATTAGATTCTATTTTCTCGTGGCACAGACTGAAGAATAATATATTTTACTTTGGGATGCCGTGTGTCTGGTACAAGTTTACTGATGTTTCGGTGGAACGTACTGCCCCCACCTTCATGGTCGAAGGGTAAACCAAAGTAGCAAAAAGAAATCTTTGGACTCGGCTTTGTCCGATACTTCCATGAGTTGTCACAGTCCAGAACCCAGTGCTCTTCCAAATAATATTTCCTTTTATGACGTTCTAAATGATGCCGTTTATCAGCAACGCGATATAAAGATAACTACATGAAACTGAGTGATGTCGGCAGGAAATAACAGAAACAAAGTATTTGCGTGGGTATTTTCATCTGCAACCGCACCTCTTGGTACCCTATGAACCGTGATATTTCCTTACACGTTTGACCCTTGCAAGGCCGGGTGTTAAATACTATGTGACAACACAGTAGGTGTCTTTGCTAAATAATATATACTTATAAAGATAACAACAAACGTGATTGGAATTTTCACCACTTTCTTGCTCATAGATCAGTTTCTAACTTTACATTATTTCTTTATGAATTAGTTTCATCTCATATTCTTGTCATGAACGAAAAGCTTTGAGAATCCGGTTAAAATGAAAATATAGTTTAAGAATTCTGTTAACATCGAATCATTATAGAAACACTGCTCGGTGCGTAGAGAAATATTTATAAAGGAAATTATATGGCACTTAACGTTAGAATTTTATAGCCGCGCATATTTTGTTCCAAATGAAAACGGCCTCTCAACGGAATTATACTTATATTAAAGTTTGTGTGCTAAGACAAAAAGTACCCCAGTATTCTCTCTCAGTATAACTTCGTGAGTACTCGTAGTACAGACCCAGAGGATTCAAACCCACGGATACTAAGGCCTCGAGTTTGACATGACCCTCAAAGGATTCAATCCACTTTCTTTCCATAAATATTCTTGAGGTCATTCTCAGTAATCTGTTCTTTCTTATTCTTCCAATTCGTAGATTTTTGAAATGTCTCTTTTCGAACACATTTCCGTGCCAAAATTATGTTTACGTTTCTATCCCCCTTCCAAAGCTGTGTTCCAATTGTGAGAAATTTCACTGAATGTCTTACTTCAAAATGCAATACATGAGCAAAACATTCTTTTCTAGAGATATCTAAATAAATCGAAAACATTTTAAAGATTAAGCTTACATAATTTTAGCGAGATTGAAAGAAAACATGAAGATTGCTGTGAGGAGCGGAGCTGAATGAAGGTGGCTCAGGATCTTGTCCATTGGCGGATTTTGCTATTAGATGTATAAAATCCTGGAGTTCATCGACCACGGTTGTAGTTCATTGGTTCCAAAACCTTTAGGTAGCTCCTTGACACCATGTTGCTCCTTGCTTAGAATCTGATACATTCATGCTATCATTCGAACTTACAACAGTATTAGTAGTGGGAAGTATATGGAGCATTTGCTCCATGCAAGAACGGTTGAGCCACAGAAACAGCCGTTGCTAAGTAGTACACGCACACAACAATGGAACAACCGGGTTATGCAACCCGTTTCTAGGCAACGGCTCGATAAACACTCCGCGATAGGCGAACGCAAACATTCCGATGAATGATAGACTTGAAAGGATTCTGACGATGGTGTATACTGTACTTCTTTTGGCTTATTTGGGACTTCACCCATCGTCTGGCATATCCAGGACCAGTGATTGAGACTAGCTCTTTCTAAGGGGCCCAACTGAGTAGGTTTATCCTTCCCTAACCACCTGAAGACGGAGACAGATCCAGTCTCCGAAACGTCGTGGTATTTTTTGTCTTTTATATGCCAGACGATGGGTGAAGTCCAAAATAAGCCAAAAGAAATTCCGATGAATGTTATAGCTCGTTGCTAGGAAGCAGGCAGCGCGCCATTGAACTACCTGGGTAACAATCACGTGAAGTGTGTTTTTTGTATGGTCCTTGCGGAGCCTACGTAAGGAGGATCTGTTGTAGCGTTGATTAGTTCAACAGTTGAGAGTACAAGGACGAGAATTGAGCACGTCCTTAGTGAATTGTGAAAGTTAGCTGAGCTCAAATTAGGACAGAGAAGTACAAAGTGATTGAAGACGAAATAACAAGAAGATTTCAATAGCGATTTGAAGTGCTATTTTCTGTGCTGAGGTCCGTTGCCAGGAGACGACCAACGAAGACAGAGAATTCTAGTGCGTGTGCAACGGTGAACTTTAAACTGTGTAAGTCGGCGATGGCGCTGTATTAATTGAAATTGAGAGAGACTGTACCCGAAGTGCCAATAAATCCAATCATCCCAACTAGAATCCGTTATTTTCGTCGCGTACCCCACACACGTGACAATATTAAGGTCTGCGCAAATAATAAAAAATCATTTATAGTTTCAGTGCTGCGAGTCAACAGCTACAGGGCCATTTACAGGAAGAGCACAGTGCAGATGCTATTAATAATGTCGTAGATAAGCGTGAGCATAAGTACAACAGCCAAAGGGCCAGTGTAGGAAATAGCACAGCGGGATAATTAGCATTTCTACATTACACAATAGAGAAAGGCATAAGGACGATAAGAACAAGAAAAACAGTATCAATAAACAAGATAATTTTGAGAAAACCAGTAAAACTGATTACTAATTATAGCAATTGAATTACTTTTTTATTCCTTTTACTTTCTAACTCGGTATAAGAAAATACATAAAGTATATATATGTATAGATTGAAATAATACTGTTACTATTTGACCTAAGAAAGTATAACGTCATATTAAGGATATTGATGTATTTCAATAAAATGAAGGTAGCCTGAGAACGCCAATAAGAGTGATCGTAAAATATGAGCGAGAGAAAGTGCTTTGGTTTATAATAATAATAAATAACATACCGTATTTACGCATGTATAGGCCGCACATTTTTTGCCAAAAATTCAAGAGGAAAACTGGGGTGCGGCTTCTATTCGAAATCACACTTCATTAAAAAAAATTATATTCATAATTAGTAATACAGGATGTTCTACTCCTGAAATAATATTCCAAGAAAATTATTTTTTCTATAATTTCTGTCTGAAAATTATGCTGCGGCCTATACACGCACGCGGCCTCTACATGCGTAAATACGGTATTTGCACTTGCAAGCTATAAAATTTTGAATCTTCTAGGATTCAGCACTATGAGCGTCTAAGCCCGAGTTCAGGATGCCAGTCCATGAACTGCACAACAATATTAATAATAAGAATATAACGGTAATAATCGTTATCGTAAACAAGGCGAACCTACCAGAGACAAAAGACATTTGATAATGTGTACAAGAAATTGCGGAAATATGTAAAATTAAGGAAATTCTATCCATTAAGTTAATTTTGTGAGAAACTGGAAGAAAACTGCCATTGCTAGGTTTCAGTGGCGGGATATCTCGGCCCAGCTTGCGAAACACTAGTGTTCTGCAGAAGCGTTTCGGAATCACCGGTGGTATTCAGTTAGAATAAATTATTAAGCTGTTTGGTGTGTTTCCCCCCATCATCATATTACTTTCTGCTTACATGAGTGTAAGTTCAGTTGCAATCTATGTTGGAATCTGTTGAGGTGAAGGAATCCTATTGTACGTGTATTTGGGAAACAAGGTTAGAATTATACGGAATTTAACTAGATTTCGAAACAAAAATCTCTGTGGAATTTATTTCTAACGCAATGGAACTGAGTGACACAGTATCCTAAAATGTGTCGAACTCTGTTGATAATCTAGAGGAGTCAGTCCCTGAAGAGTTGCAGTTCATAGGGACACAGTGGTTCTCTGTTTCTATGTTCGTTTATTTTTGTCTCTTCAGCAGTCGATGAGAATGTGAACACGTCTAAAATTGCTGTGCCACTAACGTCCATAGCAACTTACGATTAATTCCATTGACGTTTGATGCTTCAGAATAATTTTGAATTTGAATTGAATCTAGCGAATTTGGAATTTTAAATTTTAAAATTTAACAAATTTTTAAATTTAAATTGAAAATTTTAAAAACACCAAAATTCAAAAATCAAATTGACGTATGTATATTAACAAAGATTTTGTACATATCTGACAGACATCAGCAAGGGGATTCTGATATATCGGGACCTCTTAACAACGGAGAAATGAACAATTAAGAAAGCGGGTGTTTTTAAATTTTAAACTACCTGCAGTGTAATAGCTACGTGAGAGAAATACACCTGATGATGGCCATTTACGGCCGAAACATGTAGTGTAGAAGAAAAGAAGACAAAAGAACTACAATAAATTGTTGCACTTAGGACGGAGTTTGTGTCATACATTGTGTAGAGTGTAACAGGATGCTTAAATATA